TCATTGTCAGCATGTCATCACCATCATCATCACCATGAACACAATTATCACTATCACCATCATCGTGACACCACTGTTAGCAACAGCATCTTAATTGTCACCATAATTACCAGAATCATTACCATCAAAACAATCATCACCATCATCATGATATCATTTATTGAGAGCCTACTATGTGCCAGGCATTGGCCTCACTGCTATACATTCACTAATTCAATTAGTTTTTCCCACGACCCAATAATGCAGGTGTTATTATCATTTTTGTCTCATGGGGAGAAAACCATGGCAAAGAGGTAAGTCCCCCAAGTTTATTATACATAGTTATTCCGGTAACAGTGGGATGGATGGATGGATGGATTGATGGACACATGGTCCCACACTCAGATAACACATGTAGTAATGGACAAGACCAGGATTCAAACAAGCATCTAACTGATCCAAAACCCCTTTCATTCACCCCTTATCTTTATTGCCTAATCTGGTCAGCCACGGTCTCAGAGAGGCCTCGACTTCATGAATCAGACAGAGCCTTTCCCACAGGCAGCCATTCAAGCTGATCCCAAACTCAACTAGTTAAGACCAAACCCATAGTCCTTGGCTCTAATTGCCCCCATTCAAGATCTGTACTCATAAATCCAGCCCCCCAGATATTCTGTGGCCCAGACACTCAGCCCACAGTGACAACTTCAGCTCTGATTGTTCAAACTCATGCTAAAAGCCCTCTGCCCTCTTGCCCTTGACCCCCGCCATTCCTGCCACACCTGATTCACCACGTAGATGGCATAATGCAGTTGCTGGCGCTGCAGGAAGGGGTGCAGGTGGAAGAGCAGGTGCTGCAGGTGCAGGGCTTGCCCATAGTAGGGCACCACTATTGCTGTGTGGTGCCGTGTCCAGCAGTTGGGTGGCTGGTATTGGCCTCCCAGCTCCACCAGCGGGTTCTTTTCCACCACTTGCTCCATTGTCAAGTTCTCTGGGATCATCACCTTCAAGGGGCCACCTAAGAGAGGGAGAGGCTAGAGATGATCAGGAACCTACCCCAGAAACCCCACACCCCAGTTTTACTGGGTTGAATCATTCCCCACTCCCAAATTTCCTATCCACCCAGAACTTCAGAATGTGACCTTATTTGGAAATAGGGTCCTCACAGACACAATTGGTTAAAATGTGGTTCTACTGGGTTAGGTTTGGCCCTGAAGCCAATGGCTGGTGTCCTTATAAGAAGGCCTTGTGGCCCTGGCCAGAGCTTCTCAATGGTTAGAGCATTGGCCCACACACCAAAGGGTCACGGGTTCAATTCCTGGTCAAGGGTATGTACATGGATCATAGGTTTGATTCCTAGTCCCAGTCAGGGCGTGTGCAGGGGGCAATCAATCAAAGTCTCCCTCTATTCTCTCTCTCTCTCTCTCTCTCTCTCTCTCTCTCTCTCTCTCTCTCTCTCTCCCTCTTTTTCTGTCTCCCTCCCTCCCTCCCTTCCACTCTCTCTAAAAAGCAATGGAAAAAATATTAAGAAGAAAAAAAAACATGGACCACTACTCAGCTGAGCCCTTCCCAATACTCTTGACCCTCATAAACTTTGAGAGTCAATGAAGGTTTAAAGACACTAAGTCTTGGGGTGATTCCTTATGAATCAGTAATAGATAACCAACTCTCTCCCCATCACCCCCAGCTCCCAGCCCACAGCTTCTGCTTCCAGGTTCTGACACCCACCCCCTTAAGCCAGCTCCCCAAAGCCCGAAGTGGGGGTGGGGGCATAGGAGGCCTCCCACAAGCTTACTGATGTAGGGTGAGACAAGGGGGCAGTTGGGCAAATCCTCCCTTCTGATGTCCACATGGTGGATCTGGCTGATGTTTGAGTACACATCCTGGCGAGGGATTCCTGGCGAGGAGACCTGGACCACAAAGGGCAGCTCTTCTCCCCGCTCCAGCTGGTCTTGTGTGAGGAAGCGCAGGGAGGAGGTGAAGCCATGGAGGTGGTGGTTTGGGCAGAGCAATGCCCCCATCAGCAGCAGCTGTAAGCCCAGAAGTAGTAACAGGAGCCCCCTCTGCTGTTCCATTCTGGGGGGAAAGCAGAAGGTCATTCCTCCCATTTTGCAAACCCCTCACTTTGGCACCATGGGTCTCAGGCCCAGGCTCCTGCAGCCATTCTTCCCTGACGGGCTTTGCACACTCCCCAGAGGGGAGACCAGAGTGAGACACGTCCCAAGGCCACTCAAGGCCACATCATCTGTGCGGAACACCTGTCTTGTGAACGTCTGCAGCCTCATCTCGTCAGCCTAGTTCCACACTTTGGTCACACTGGATGCCAGCCGGACTGCTCCCTTGGCCGGGCAACTCAACCTCCCTAACACTTGATGTCCTTGTCTGTAAAATGAGGCTTATTGCTGGATCAGGCTCATCGTGCCAAGATAGGCAATGTGCTTATGTTAGGGTGCGACAGGAACTCAACGTTATTCCAGGAATGGTCCAGGTTCTCTCTTATCTCCAACATTTTTAAAATATGTTTTTATTGATTTCAGAGAGGAAGGGAGAGATAGAAACATCAATGATGAGAGAGAATCATTGATTGGCTGCCTCCTGCACGCGCCCTACTGGGGATCCAGCCTGCAACCCAGGCATGTGTCCTTGACGGGAATCGAACCTGGGACCCTTCAGTCCACAGTCTGACGCTCTATCTACTGAGCCAAACCTGCTAGAGCTATCTCCAGCATTTTGCATAGAAGGGACCAGCCCTACTCCTGCTCATTCTGGGTGCCCTTCTCTTTCATGCCACAAGCACCAAGTTGCCACTAGGGGCTTCCACAGCCTCAGTATTCCCTCCAACCCACTCTGATCATTGTGGATTGTGACTGTCCATGTCAACCTCCCCCATCAGACTAGGGGCTTGAGGAGAGCAGGTTCAGGACGGACTCATCTCTGGGTCCTCAGCATTTCTCAGCACAGGAGGCCCCAGGAAATGGATGATGATTGGATGGATGGAGGGATGAATGAATGAATGCAGATAGATCTCTTCTCCACCTGACAGACTCCTACTCATCCTTCAAGAGCCAGCACAAATGCTCCTTGTCTTGTCTAAGTCCTTTATTCTCATCTACACTCTGGGCTCTCCTGGTCCCTGGTATCTCTGCTGTCACAGCTCTGGTCACCAGAACTGGAATGATATATATCTAGTTTCTCTCCCTCACCAGCCTGGGAGCTATGAGAGGGTAGACCTTGGGCGTAGGCCCCCATCTGTAGGCCCCCATCATCACCCATAAAAAAACGTTGAGCACCCACTTATTTAGCCACCTATAGTTACTAAGCATCCAGGCATTATGGTGTGAACCAAGGAAACAACCAGAAACAAAATCAACAAAAACCTCTGCCTCCATGAAACCTACTTTCTGGTGGAAAAGACAAGCAAGAAAATAGGTAACTTCAGAGAGTGATAAAAACCTATAAATGAAAAGGGGAGTGTGGCAGGATGATGCTACTATTTGCTGAGACTGTGGTCTGGAACAGGGCCGAATATATCATGGATGTTAATTTTAAATTTTCTGTTGGCCTCATTTATAAAGTAAAAATAAACGGGCACAATTCATTTTAATGTGACACTAACCCAATACATAAAAAATATTGTTTCAACATGCAATCAAGATAAAACTAGTGAGGGATTTTACATCCTTTTCTCACATTAAACCTAATCTGGTACGTATTTTGCATTTACATTACAGCCCAATTCAGACTAGCTGCAGTCCAAATACCCATTAGTCATGTGTGGCCAGTGGGCAACACACTGAATAGCAATGCCAGGCCCAGAAAAGGAAGCCTTCCCGGATTATGAGAATTAAATGAGATGAAGATAATCAATGCTTACTGTTCGGTCAGTACACAGTAACTTTCCCGGTTAACTCACTGAGTGGGTACTATTATCGTCATCCCCACGTTACAGCGGAGGAATCTGAGATGGTGCGTGGGAAGTGCCAAGCGCTGTCTGGCACAGGCGGACTGCTCAGTCAGTGCTGCTCCCCCACTTCCACCGTCCCCCGCCCCGCCCCCCAAGTCCTGTCAGCAGCACTTACAACCTCTGGGCTTTATCATCCCTATCTCCCCAACCAGTCCGGATGCAGCCGTGTCTCACAAGACGGGCCTGGCACGAAGGAAGCCTCCGGAAATGAACAAATGAATGAGTCTAATGACCAGGGTTTAAGCCTTACAACAGGAGCCCCCCATCATCCGTCACTCTCAATCTTCCCGATCAAGGACTTCACTGGGTTAGACACAAGAGGAACTCAGACAATAACACACAGGAGAGGGGGCTTGGATCTGGGGAGGCCCTCCGTTGTTTTGTTATTGTTTTGGGGGCTTATGCCCCCGGGAACCCTTCGTTTCACGGGTCTCACCTGTCCTCCATCCCGAGCTCTGCCTTCAACGCCACCAGGCAGAAGGCGGGCGCATTGGTGACGGACCACACCTGCGCATCACCGCTAACGGGATCCACGCCCCGAGCCCGCAGCTCGTGGAGAGAACCGTAAACCCGACCCTATCCGCTCCCCGCACGCACCCAACTGCCACCCCGCGGGGGTGCGCACCCAGTGTCCCCTCAGAACCTGTCCAGCGCCAGCGCTACCTCTCCCTTTCGCAACCCACCCATTTCTCCCCCACCCCGAAGCCTCTCCAACCGCAAACTCTATCATACTCCCAAGAAAGCACGAAATCTGAAAAATATCCTCTCCATCTTTGGAATAAACTGCACAGTACACCGCGCGCAGCAGAACACAGAAACCAGGCGCCGCTCCAGCTCCCCGCGCAGGCGCAAAGTGGATCTGAGCGGCCCCCAGCCTTCTGAGGCCGGTGGGCGGGGCGCGTGACGTCAGTGCGCGAAGCTCGCAGGGAGTTGTAGTCTGTCCGAGAAAAGCCCGCGCTTCCTACCGCGGGCACCTGGGAGTCGTAGGCGGGTAGACCTGAAAGCCTTCTGGGAGTTGTAGTCTGTTTACCCACTTCCGCTTTTTCTGGGAGCCTGGACCTACCAGCGCGGGTTCTGCTCAGGTGAGTGGCGGGCTGGACTCGGTCCTTTGTTTCTCTGCCACGTAGAAGCTGGTGTTCTCCATGTTTCTCTCCCACGCATTCCCGTAGCTATACCTGCAGAGATCGCTCTCCTCTCCGTGATACCCCAATGCCTGTCTCCCGGCGACCCGCTTTAGACTCAGCAGCTGGGTCTGACTCCTCATTCCCACCACCCAAGCTGGGTGCGGTGCAAGCGCACGCTCCTCGGTCCCCTAACCGCCAAGAGGTGTCGGGGCTGGCCTAGAGGGCGAGCAAGGCGGCTGTTTGAGCCTAGAGGAGGCGCCAGACCCAGCCCAGGGTTCAAGAAAGACTTGCAGAGCAAAGGACCTCAACTCTCCTATGGTCAAATGAGCTTCCAGATTCTCTGCCTTAAACCTAACCCTCTCACAGTTTTTCCCCATTCTTCCCCATCCCTCACCTCTTACCTACTAAATGGTCCTTCCAATTGTTCAAGCCAAAACCCTTGGACTTGTCCCGAGTCCTGTGTGTCTCTCATCCACTGCTCTCCCCCAACCATGTCTTGTGAGTCCCATCTGCTCTATTTCCCGAAGAGATCCAGAAGCCGACCACTTCTCTCTACTTGCACTGTCTCCCCTCTGCTCTGAGCCACCATTGTTGCCCACCTGGATCATTGCAGGAGGCTCCTCTCTGATCCGGGCTGGCCCCTCTCCACCCTGTCTTCACACACAGCAGCCTGAGGGATCTTGTTAAAATATAAATCACTCCAGCGGGCCTGCGTGGCTCAGTGGTTGAGCATTGACCTATGAACCAGGAGGTCACGGTTAGATTCCCCATCAGGGCTTGTGCCCATGTGTGGGCTCCATCCCCAGCAGGGGGCGTGCAAGAGGCAGCCAATCAACTATTCTCTCTCACCATTGATGTTTCTAACTCTCCCCCTTCCTCTCTGAAATCTATTTAAAAATATATATAAATATAATCACTCTACAGCTTAAAACCATCCAATGGTCCCTATCTCATTCAGAGGAAAATCCAAGCTTCTCATCGTGACAATCTCCAGGGCCCTGACCCTCTCCTGTTCAGCCACAACACACCCTCCAACCAAGTGCACACAGACAGGCCGGACCCTTCAGGTCCTTTGCATTTGTTATTAACTCTGGAACATTCTTCCATCCTGACCAAATGCCTGACTCCTTCTTGTCCTCCTGGCTTCCTCTCACAAGACAATCCCTTCATGTCACTCTTCATTATTTTTAAAGTATGGAGGTTATTTCTGCTTATCCGTGTGTTGGTTCCTCCACTAGAACTGAGTTTCTGCAACCTTTCCTGTTTGTTCTCTGTGGTGACCCCAGTGCCCAGGATCCACTGAGTTGGTATTTGTTGAATGAATGAATGAATGAATGGATGGATGGATGGATGAATGAGTGAAAGCTTCATCTGAGATTTGAAGGTGCTTGGCCTGCACAGCGCTGAGGGAAGTGTTCCAGGCACTGGGTTTACTCTGGGCGCTACCCAGGCAGCCTCCCTGGAGGCAACAACCCCGCAATCCGGATCCACCTGTACCCCGCCTCCCTTCTCTTCTAGTCCAGGAGAAGCGGACCCCTCGCACCCGCCCGGACCCCGCGATGCCCGCCCCGCAGTGCGCCTCCT